TATATATAAAAGGAAATCAAACAAGATGCCTGCTTAAAGGAAACCTGCACTCATGAAGACAGGCTGGAAATGTGAAGACTGGTATATTAGCTAGGAGGAAACAGGAATCGGATGGGAAGGCTAGGATAGATTGAGTAACATTAAGTGTGAAGTGGTCCCAGGGTCTCCCTGGAGGTGCATTAGTTGAAGTGTCAGCTCTATCAAGCTATTGCCAGCCACTGTGGAATTCAATACCCCGCCCAGGAGCTGACCCACATGGCACAGCAGACCTCTCCTATCTTCACCCACTGCTCCTCTCAGCAGTGTATTTTAGTAGATCTGCCTGTTCTGCTCCCCACTTTGCCTCTGATGAACCCTCTCACCATCCACACCTCTGGCCTACACCCCAATTCTTGTATGCATAAATAAATAAATCTTAAAAGAAATTAAGAAAAAGGAATATGAAAAGTCCCCAATCCAACAGGACTGATACCTTCTCTTCTCCAACAAGTTGCTTGGGCTCTTCAGCAGTCCTGGCTCAGGAATGGGAGTACAGAATTCTCAACCAGAGTAGAGCTCAACATAGAGTTCAGCGAGGGGCACACAGGCAAGCAGTGACTACATTCAGCAGTAAGAAGAACTACTCATCTGACCCCTACTCAATTTCTGCACTCTCAATTATTTTCTGTGCCTGGTGGGGAGCTAGGGAAGACACTTGCCTCTACCTGCATATGACTTCCATCCCTCCCCAAGGGTACATAGAAAGAAGCTTTAAGTAGCCACAGTAAACTCAACTTGTCCAGAGTGGGTTTTCTACCTTGGAGAATCAGCAGAGATGCAGGCTCAAATCTGAAACAATTTCTAGTGTTTGACCCCTATAAATGGGGAAGAACACAGGGATTATGAACATAGCACTTCCAGACTTACTGGCAAGGACCTACTACACTGCTAGCTTTGGAAGGTCACCATGCACCCTTCCACCTCTGTGACCTCCAGCCAACTTACAGAGCGCATAGAAGCTGCAAGTGCATAATAGTCTGCTCAGTGGGTTCTTTGTTTCAGCCTCAGGGAATCCTGAAGTAACTGTATTTATGAGCAGTTAACTTATGACAAAGGAGCTAAAAAGTGTACACTCTTCAACAAATAGTGCTAGGAAAACTGGACAGCCACATGCAAAAGAATGAACTCAGACAACCATCTCACTCCTTATACAAAATTAACTCAAGATGGATTAAGACATGGGATATAAAACCTGAAATAATGAAATACACTAAAGAAGATATAGGTGAAATACTCCATTACATTGGCTTTAGTAGTATCTTTGTGGATTCACATTGCAGAGATGCAGACACAACCAGACCCTACAGAAAGCAGCAAAGAGGTTTCTCAAAATATTAGAAATACATCTATCATGTGATTTAGCAATTCCTATCATAGAGGTCTGTCTGAAGAACACAAAAACACTAATTCAAAAAGATATATGTATACCTCTAAGTTCAATGTAGTCATATTGAAAATAACTAAGTTACTCTCAGGACAAAGTAGATTAGAAAAATATGACACAGATGCAATACAGAATACTACTCAGCTATAAAAAAATGAACTCTTGCGATGTGTGACAAGGATGGAAATGGAGGGGATAACGCTAGTGAAGTAAGTTGGAGAGAGGAAGACAAATACCAGCTCGTTTCACCTACATGTGAAATACAGAGAAACAAAGGATCCGCTAAAACAAAATAAAAAACCATAGAAAACTGGAAGAAATGCTACAAGAGGGAGGGGGAAAAGCACGGTGGTTGGGAGGCCTAATGGACTAGAGAGGAAGACGATGGGTGTCTGGGTGGTAGGTATGGTGGTTTTTATACATAAACACACACACACATCTTTATAAATATGTACCTAACGAGCTTACCGTTGACATTAGCCAATGAAAGAATATTATCCTGGTGATCAAAGAGACGCTTAACTTCAAAGATATCCCATTCTAGTGATCCTTCTGTGGGTTCTATTAACCTGAAAATTACTAAATAAAACACCTAAGTTTATTGAAATGGCCAAAGCAGATTCTATTTCTGTAAAAATGCAAGCATTTAACTGAGAAAAGACAAAAGTACTGAAAAACTCATCTCTGAAGAGAACTATTTATACTACATTATTTCTTCCAAATGATTGAGATGTTTGAAACTATTGACTGAAAGCCCAGGTCTGTCCTTAGGACACTTATCCTGCTTGACTCTTCTAAGTCCACTATCAACCCTTCCTTAACAAGGCCTCAGGGCATGGCCAGCTATCCTGCCTCTCTCTGGTTAGTCAGTAACTGGCTCACATCCCTGAGTATCTTTACCATCAGTTTTTTTCTGCTCAGTTGCCATGTCAGTTAGAACTGCTATAAAATAAGGCATATATGTATGGTTAATTCAGGGAAAACTTCAGCTGTCATTTTTATTTACTATATTTCATCTTTTGCTACCTATGCATATACCATCAGATTATAATTATCTCTAAGGATATATGTCTGAAAATTTTTGTGTAGCACATACTTCTTTTGACTTTAGATGTTCAGTGTATTGCTTCACTAATCTAACTTAACAATTAATGCTATTTAAGCTAATATAACTCCTAACTTTAATCAATAGAGGAAAAATCCAAAATAAAATCAACTGGAGTGCTTCTATCAACATTTACCAAGTATCTACTATGTGTCAGGCCCAGTCAGTGCCCTGAAATATTCAAACTAGAGTTAAGTGTGACACTTACAAACAAGCTTTTGATCAATGTATTAAGTGCTACAATAAATCATGTGCTGTGACGGTCAGACTGAATAATATCTGAGAAGGGGTTGTTTCTCAGAAGTCATATTCTTCCCAAATGACAGTAATTTATTAAAATCTCTCTTCTTTCTTAACATTTGGAAAATACATCCTATCCCCGTCCTTTCTGTGACTCTGAACAGCAGCTTACCATCTAACAAACTTCTAGCAAAGTTCTTGAAACACACGAAGTAGATGGGTTATTTAGAAAGGCTTTCATGTTTCAACTTGTGGCTGTCTAAAGAAGGCTCACAAAGAAAAGGGCGACATTCTGGCTCCTTGATACAAAAATTCCATAGTTCTGTCTTAGTGAATTCCCAAATAAGTCCTCTCCAACCTTTATAACTCAATGTTGAACAATTTCTTAATGTTGCTACTTTATTTATGTGGTATATTTTTTGCTAAGTAAGTGTAAGTACTGACCAACAAGGGAGAGTACTGTACAGTGTAACTGACCCTGTCTGCCATCATGATGACAAGTGGGGTTATATTGCTCCATTTGGGAATGTAAGAGCAAGTGTAATACAAAACCTGACTTAACATCTTGATCAGTAACAAGCCTAGAAAATGTCTGTCTCAGTCTCACTTCAATAGTACCAGGGAGCTAAGAATGAAATAGGGGCATATGTCCCATCAATAAAATCTCCTATTTCCAAAATGTGTACACAAGTCTAGTTTAAAGTTAAAAAGAAAAAAGAATCATACTCACTCAATTCTTTGCCAACTGCAGCCACAACACAGTTCTTCGGTATTTCAATCAAAGCACTGATCCCTTCAAAAATATACAAAACAAGGATCAAATAATTTTATTCATGGATTTCATCAAAAATAAAAGCAGTCTCGGTTTTACGTCAATTTCTTTCCCAGAATAGGGGTAATAATAAAGCACACACAATTTGCTATACCACATTTCCTTGCTTGCTTACAAATGGAAATTGATTTTGAGAAAAGTAGTAAGAAATTTAGAAGACATTACTGATTTATTAAGGGTAGGATATGCTCTTTGAACACTATTACTAATGTTTGTAAACTTATTCACCAGGGAGTCCTTAAGATAATCACCTTCACCATTATCAAGATGGATAATTCAAAGGAGACATAAAATCAGTGTATTCTTCAATGTAAACCTATTAAGAGTGTGTGGGCTATCCGTGGATGAACTGCCCAACAGTCAAGTACTAAAAAGTGGCTTTCACATACCATAATTATGACCAACTAATACATTTACAAAATTCTTGTTTGTGGATCTTGGATATCAGCCTCTAGTTGAATATGTGCTCCTCATGGAATAAATGTATAGATAAGAAGCTATACATTATAACAAATAGAGAAGAAAATGTACATGGAGATAGATATAACACCCAGAATTAAAAACTCTAGATTCAAATAAAATTTTTAGTGATCAATGTCAAACTGAGATAAAATTGTGAATTCTGATAATGCATGAACTTAGTTTTGCTAACACATTATTTTTCTAATATTCTATAATTTCTATGTATAAATAAGCTAATTATAATTATGAACCACATATTCAACTAATAGGGCTCCTGCTACCTTTGAAATATCACAATATGGTTATATTATTCAGGATATTCAGGATATTAAAAACAAAAACAGTAGTATTTTACTTGACTTTAAGGTACTGCCACTTAAATTTACTCATTTATACTTAAATATTTTTATGGTATAACTCTTTTTTTAAAATAATATAATAGTTTATTTTTACATCATCTTGTGTCTCAGTTGTTATACTTAAATATTTTTTCTTAAAATAGATTTTATTTTTTATAATCCTTGATATCATCAGAAGTCAAACCATTTCATGTTTAAACCAAATTGTGTCAACAGAATTCGGCTAAAACAGAATTTTCTAAGTTTCATGCCCATTAAGAAACTTTTTGGCAAAACCAATTATAAAATGCAGGTATCCTTAAGAATCTACTCAAAATCCAAAGACCCCACAAATAAAGAAAATGCTACTTCAAGATGCCAATGTGTTCACCAAATTCAATTTTGGAACATGGCCCAATGGTATATATGAATGGTATTTGACTACTTTTGACCACTGTCACAAGAGAACGGAAGGCAATAAGGGTTGAGGGAAGTTTTCTCTTCCAATTTGGATTGGAAAATATTTTACATAACCTTTAATATGAACTGGAGAAATATGGCTGTGTGTTATATTCAGAACTGAAAAGAAAAATCCCCAATATTGATAGCTGTATGCATGAATGTCTCTTTGAAGATTCACTGTATCTTCTAGAGAATGTCAATAATAGCTTACTGTTAACTGATTTGGGCTTTACCTGTATCTGAAAGGTGACTAGTCTTACACAGAAGATCTAATTTTTGGTTCCACACACATATGTCATTCCCACCAGAAAGCCAAATGTCCAGTCTCTGAAGAACAGTTAAAACCTGAAAAATTCACACAAAATGTTTTATCAGTTTGGAAATTTAAGTAGTCATTCATTTTAAAATCTCTACACAATTTCTTTGCTACCTTTCTCCAAGAAATTGAGCTTCTCTTCCCTTGAATGTGGGTTCTAGTAATCAAGTAACTTCTAACAAATAAATGTGGCAGAAGGGATGGCGTGACTTACAAAACTAAGTCATAAAAGACATGGCCACTTCTTCCTTGCTCTCTGATGGATCACTTGCTATAGAAGGAGAAAGATCCACATGGCATGGAAGTGAAGCCTTTGGACAAAACACAGCATTAACTTGCAAAAATATAAAGTGCCTAAAATTTTCCAAATCCAGACAAGTCTTCAGATAACGAGACCTCATAAGAGACAAAGTCAAAACCACCCAGCTAAGCTGTTCTCTATTTCTGACTGCACATACTGTGAAATAATGTTCACTGTTTTGGGTGACTAAGTTCTGAGTTAATTTGTTTCTCCATAATAGATAACTAACTACCCAGGGCTAAAACTAAGATGTTTTTCAAATAATACTAAGGATATGGCTTTTCCTATGTCTTAAAGGTCTAGTTTGACCTTATGTATCTTTTTTTTAAGATTTATTTATTTCTGCATACAGAACCAGGGTACAGGCAGAGGTGCAGGGACTGTGAGAGGATTCACCAGAGACAGAGCAGGGACCAAAACAGGCTGACGAAGTACACTGCTAACGGGAGCACCAGGCGGGTCAGGAGAGGCCTGCTGTGCCATATGGATCACCTCCAGGGCCAGGGATTGAACTCACAATGAGGTGGCTTGCAGTGCTGCATCCTCCTTAACCCGTTCACCACCAGGAAGTGCTTATATATCTTTTAAATTACTACCTGCTAATTCTTGACAGAGGGAAGTTAGTGTTTCAAGAACTACAGAAGTCCTTCAAGAGTACTTTAAAGTCTACAACTTTAATAGTACTACTTGTATCCATCAACTGTGAATGAGCACAAGGACAAAAGCAAGAGAAAATTTTGGTAATGTTGCCTGGGCTGAGGGAGGGGCTGCTTTTGAGACTGCTGTAATTAAAAGGATTAAAAGTAACCCATACAGTTTTTATCTCAGGAGGTCCTATTCTATTGTGTACATCTGTAATATCAGTACTTTATTCCTTCTTACTGTGAAATTGTATTTCACTCTGGATATACCACTCACTGGCTATCCATTTATCACTTGATAGACATTTCAGTTATTTTCTCTTTGGGGTTGTTATAAAAGATGCTGTTATAAACACTAATGTACACGTTTTTATGTGCACACACATTTTCCTTTCTTATGAGAATACCCAGGAGAGAGACCAAGCAAATTAAATCTGTTTAACATTTTGATAAACTGTCAAGCCAGCCTCAAAAATGACTACCATTTTACCTTCTCATCAACAATGCATGAGAGCTCTAATCTTTCCATCTCCTTATCAACACTTGGTATTGTGCATGTGCTAGAGATTAGCATCTAGCATAGTTATGTTATAGTTTTTGACTTGCATAAGAATTTTGAGCTTTATCTCATGTGCTTATTGGCTATTTGTATATCATCTTTAGACAATCTTTTAAATTCTGTCTTCTTTTAATTGGACTATTACTAGCTCAATCTTTTTAATTGAATTTTAAGAATTCTTTATGTTTATGGACATAAGTTTCTTATCAGAAAAATAAGTATTTTCTCCTATCCTATGAATTGCTGGTTTAGCTTGTTGATGGTGTCCCTTGAAGAATGAAGGCTTTTCATTTTGAGGAAGTTCAACTTTTCTTTTTGTTGTTATGCTTTCAACATCCTAAGGCCCCTAACCCAAGTTCACAAAGATATACTCCTCTACTTTTTCTAAGAGTTTTAGAATTTCATGGTCTTTGATCCATTTTGATTTAATTTTTAGATAGGGATGAGATAGGAATCAGATTTCATTATTTTGTACTTTGATATCCAGTTGATCCAACAATATCTGTTAATGCTACTACTTTTTATCCTGTTGATGGATACTGGTACCCCTGTCGAAGTCAAATGACCATATATGTGAGGTTTTATTTCTGGACTCTCAACTCTGCTTATCTATCTTTGTGCACTCTCACACCATCTTGCTTACAGAGCTTTGTAGTAAACCTTGAAACCAAATTATGTGTTACAACTTTTTCTTTTCCAGATTGTTCTGCCTATTCTGGGGTCTCCTGGATTACCTATATGAATTTTAGATCAGCTTTACAACTTTTGCCCAAAAAAATACGTTTGCTAGGATTATTTCCTTGAGTCTAATCTAGATAATTTGGATAGTGTCACAATCTTCGTATGAAATCTGATCCACAAATATGGGATGTGTTTTCATTTATTTCATTTTCCTTTAGTTTCTTTCAATCTGTGTAGTTTGGATATATAAGAAATAGATTTCCCCTCCAAATTTATTTCTAAGTATTTTATTTTTGGGGATGTTATTATAACTAGTATTAATTTTTAAATTTCATTTTTGGAATGTTTACTGCCTGTGTACAGAAATACAATTAGTTTTTGAATACTGGTACTGCATGTTAAAGTCTTGCTAAATCATTAGCATTTCTAGTAGTATGAATTTAGAATTTTCTATATAGATGCCATTTGTAAATAGTTTTCTTTCTTTCTAATAGCCCTGAGTCCAGTACAATAGTGAATAGGAAATAGTCAATAAATAACACCAAAAACAGATATCCTTATCTTGTTCTTGATTTAAGAAAAAAGTATTCCATCAGTTTTTTACCATTAATATGAATTTAATTGTGGGGTTTTCATAGATGCTTTTTATTATTAAGTTGAAGAAATTCTCATCTAATTCCTACTTTGCTGAGTACTTTCATCAACAGAATATGAGGGTCTGAAAAATGCTTCCTCTGTATCTAGGGGTTTTGTCTGTTATTCTTACTATGGCATATTAGATTTTTTTTTCCAGATGTTGAATTAAGCTCATATTCCTGGGATAAATCTCGTTAGTGATGGTATATAATAAATTTTTATATATTGGGAAATTAGATTTGGTAGTATAACATGGCTTTTGTTACTTATTAGCATTCTGCAAACTACATATTCTTCTGAAATATTATTTTGAGCTTATGTCTATCATAACTATTTTCCTGTAAGATATTTAATAACTGCCAGTCATCCACCTAAAAAATATACTTGTAATATACATTTCTGTCCATAAATCTCTGCCCAAGTTTTCAATTATTTCTATTAAACAGAGAAACAGAATCACTGGGCTAATTAATGTATCTCTTTTCAAAATTCATTCATAATGCATAACTGCCTATCAGAAAAGTCAAGTCATTCAACAGCAATATGCCAATTTCACCACTTCCTTGCTAATGTCAATCCTTACAAAACTTTACTAGCATAAAAAATAACAGTATTCCCTGATTCCTTAGGAATCTCAATTTCTTTGATAAACTATCTGTTCAAAAAAAAAGAACCACTTAAGTAAACACAGATGCACTTTTAAAATCCTTTTATGTGGAACAGACTCATAGCAGGAATAATTAACCATCTGATTAACATTACATTAAAACCTATTTATAAAACCTATTTATAAACAAGATTTATCCCAGGAATATGAGCTTAATTCAACATCTGGAGTAAGATGCTTTGTATTGACCAGTTTGGTGACTATAACAGGTCACCAAGAGAATTTCCCACAAATATACTTTTTTTCCTCCTTTCCTGTTCTTTCAACTCATGTGTTTTCATATGAAATCTAGCACCTTCAAGTTAGTTTTTCTGGTAACAAAGAGTACTTTTCCAGTAACTGAAAAGGAATATCCTTTTAGAAAAGAGATTTTAATCAAATCTATTTAATGACTTCTTCAAAGACAGCCCATTGTTGAAGTGAATACAACATATAGTAAATACCATTTCTCAGAAGTTCTGTTACATTTACAATCAGTATAGTAGCACTAGGTGGCTGCTAACACTTTTAGGGGAAAAGTGAAGTATCTTGACTAATAGCACACAACAATTTTCTTTACCTTAAGAAAAAAAAGTGTTGGCTCTCACGCAGAGACTGGTTATCTTTAAGTAATGAGGAACCATCTCATTTTACTCAATCTTTCCCCCATGTCGCTGACATTTAAAAACAGTGTAACTTTCTGAGAACATTTAATGTAATTTCTTCTGTAAGAATTAAAGTAACTAAGTCTTATCCAAGCTAGTTTCCCAACATGAAGCAGAGTTTCTATTATGTAACAAGACCTAGTTAATATGTTTTTGTATAAAGAATAAACCAAAGTAGCCAAATAGGCACAGCAGATTTTGATTTGGAACTAAGTAATTGACATGTCTTGTCTTTATGACCTTATAGAAAGAGAGGTTGAGGGACAATACTCCATGCTTTTAGCTCAAAGTATTGATTAGTTTGAAAACAAACTAATCTTATAATCATTCTGAAAGTAATGTATTTCCCTAAAATTACTTAATCAAAGCATTTTTCTTTATCTTGCAACAGAGATTCACATCTTACTCAATTTCAAATTCAACAATCTAGCACTTAATACATATGGTCCAAAAATACAGTCCTAGTAGAATCAATTGGCTATAGATATGTATCAAAGAAATACTTTTATAAAACTAATTTTACAAAATTTATTAACGAACTATGTCTGGGACAAAAAGATTATCATACAAATCTGTTTTTAATATTTTACCTTTACAGTGGACTGGAAGGATGACACTTGCTGAACTTGTCTGCCAGTATCACAATCCCATACCTAAATATATGTTAAGAAAAAATTTCTAAACAATTACAAAATCTTAATTATGGATAACTTTTGCAGTAATTAAAACACCAGTCAGGCCCTCCCTGGTGGCACAGCAGGTTAAAGCACAGTATTAAGAAGCTAAAGCAACTTCAGCATGAGTCCGATCCCTGGCCAGGGAGGTGATCCACAAGGTGTGACAGACCTCTCCTGACCCGCCCACTGCTCCCTTCAACAGTGTACTTCCTTGATCTGCTTGTTCTGCTCCTCACTCCATCTCTGGTGAATCCTCTTACTGCCCCTGTACCCCAGCTCTGTATGCATAAATAAATAAATCTTAAAAAAAAAAAACACAAGTCATACACACCTAGGTTATAAAATCCTTAAAGCATAGAATACTGAATATACTACTATAAAAATTAATTCATATAGCGAGTCAACTTAGCATAGCAAGCCTACAATCTAAAATACACTTGAGGGCTCTCCCTGGTGGCACAACAGGTTAAAGCACTGCATTAACTGCATTATGAAGCTCTCTGAAGCCACTACAGCACAAGCTCCATCCCTGGCCAGGGAGCTGACTCACATGGTGTGGCAGACCTCTCCTGACTTGCCCACTGCTACCCTCACCAATGTACTGTCAGTCTGCCTGGTCTGCTCCCCACTTTGTCTGCGGTGAATCCTCTCACCCACCACACCTCTGGTCTGTACCCTAGTTCTGTAAGCATAAATAAATAAATCTTAAAACTAAAATACACTTGAGGTAAATTTTACTATCAAACTATTCAACAATGCCAATAGACTGATTAATCTGGACAATGTATCTATACAGATATTATACATTATACTGTTTAAATTTTAAGATTTATGCTCCAAAATAATTCATATTTTGGAATTTAGTTCTTACTAAAAATTACATTAATATTTACTGCAAGGTATCTCAATATGCATGCCATAATTTATTACTGTTATCTTGATTCAAAGAACAGAGTAACAGTGTATTACCACTACCTGTATATATTTAAAATATATGAACTCTCATAAAATGTACAAAGCTAGTATGATGTAAGGAATATAATGATTTTCAAATGTTTTATATCACTTCAGAATATGGAGTAGAACAGCACATTCTCCCATTTCTTTCATTGTATGTAACTTGATATAAGAACTCTGAAACAACAGTTTGAATCGCAGGGTTTTAATCAGTGTTTACCTACTATTTCCAATCTAATCCTTTTCAAATACTTAATATTTTTAAGAAATGTCTTATGAAAGCTGAAATAAAAATCACTGTTGCTAAAACAGGTATTTACCAGCAGGCCCCAAGAAGCTAAAAACTTCTGAGCCTTGAGGTTATGACAGCTATTTCACTTTCTTCCAGAGACAACGAATACATTACAAGGATACAATAACCGTTCTATCAGCAGAGGCTGTCAGGATTAGTTGGCTTTTTTCTTCACAAGCTTCCAAGGAAGGAAATGTAGTAATAGCTGTTATCTTTTGAGTGTGTCCATTGAGTTCCAAAAGTTTTTCTCCTGTCTGAAATACCAATAAAATGTTAATAAGCTCATAACTAACAATTTAAGCCTTCTTAAATGACAGTACTAAGTGGAATCACTATGCAGAAAATGCATAATTGCTATTCAAAATTACTTACAATTTATAATTTAACTTTAAGCAGTTAAACAGTATCTAAAGAGGTATTAAAAGAGTAGCCATAAACAGTTTCAATTATTTTCTTATAGAAAATACTGTTTAGCATATTCCTAAAGAAATTTAAAGGGCTATTCTTTCTATATGGGTTTTATGACATGATAATGTAAATAAATCATAAAAATCAGTAACAATCGGTAGGAAAAAAATAGGGAGTCTTCATTATTCAAGTATTTGTTTCTAATTCTCCACAACTATGACATATACAATTACATATATACATATGTATAGACATATTTTTGCTTGTGTATTTATAAAATCTCTACTCATGAAGTCAGTCCCAACATTTATAAACCAACATTTATTGCTATCTATACAGTGTCTATATCCATCAGTCTCTCATTTATTTCCCAAGTAATAAAACACAAAAATACAACATAAGTATAACAGAAATTACAAATCTTTTGAAGTTACAGTATTTCAAGAACATGGTGAACAGATGGCTAACAAACAGCTTTAATGATAGGCAAAAACACTGACAGACCAGCTAACAATCCAAGTAAGGATAAGAAGAAGATCAATGCTTCAAGAGAGAAAAGCTGAGTATCAAAAGATCAAGAAAACAAGTCCTGAGGAAATCTGGTGATATTTAAATATTATTGAAAACCAGCCTTATATTATACCATTAAAATTATAAAAATATTACATTGCTCTATATATAATTTTAAAATAAAAAATTGCCCCACTAAGATTATCACTTGATTTAATTTCAGAATCTCTGCATAACTGGTAATTTAAATTTTGTTCAGTAAGATTAAATCTTTATTTTCATAACTTGGCACTTATTTCTAAGGAAAAATACTGGTCCTTGTTTTAAACAGATTCATCCCAAGTAATCCTTTTCAAGTATTAACCTCAAGTAATGATATTAATAAGCAGATATAACACCAAATAGTGTTTGTGAACTTATATTCAACCATACAATCATGTTTTTATTACACTCTATACAGAATCATACACACCTGGGCATTCCACACAACTACAATTCCATCATCACCAGCAGATGCAAATCTATTCAGAAGGAAAAAGGCGGGGGAAAAAAATATATGACATTTAATTGCTGAAACTACTAAGAATTATCAGATCTTATTAGTGATGTTTTGACTTATTACTATTAACACAAATTAAGTTCAATAAGCCAATTTAATGAATATTTATAGATGCCTTCTTGTGCTATGCCAGGTACTGAGCTCTAAAGACAGATTATTAATAGAGTTACAATGAATAAGCTGCTAGATAATGGAGAGATTTATAGATAAGTCTTTAACTTGTATATGATTAAACACTAAAGAGTAACAAACTCAAGCTGAGAAACAGCATCACCTGTAGGGAGCAATATTCCCATTGTGGAACAAAGATTTCATATCCTTAGATCTACTCATTATGTCACTATTTTTCCTATAAAGATATTTAACTCTAGATTTAAGTGAACACCTCTCCCTTAGTCCTTTTGGCTCTTGGGTTTTCTCACAAATAACACTATGCTCTTGATTTAGAAGGTTTGGGACTTAAGGGGGAGTGTTTACTTTGTTACTTAACAAAAATGCTTGGAAAAATACCAAGAAGGAAAGTTTTTTCATGGCATAAGATGAACTCTTCTTTTTAGCTCTCATTCACTATATATAAAGAGGTAACTATATTTTGTAGGAGTAGCAGCAGATAGATATGCCACAAACAATATCAAGAAAAATAAATTGTCAAATAATTATTCATTATAGTGACTGCATTACAAAAAGATCAAAAAGCACTGTTTTCAAGCATTATCCAACACAATGTATGCAGCAATCACTTACAAGAATATTATGTACTATATTAATGTGGTACACTAGCTTATAAATGATTCGTTAATTAATCAATGATTCAGTTATTCCCATTATCACTTAATTCAGGCTTGCTTTTATGAGTAAGATAAAAAGAAGTAGTATTATGGAGAGCCAGCTACGAATTATACATCTAACAGACCCCTAATAGCTAACAACGATACACTACTTGCAGGTATAAAGCTTAGAAAATTTTAACTTTCCATTTTATGATTGTATGTGGGTATACAAAATCTGGGTATGCCTTAAATGTTTTCATTAAGACACACATTGTTAGTCACACACCTAACCTGGGGGGATTAAAATTATCAATATAGGCCCTCCCTGGTGACGCAGTGGGTTAAAGCACAGCACTAAGAAGCTAAAGCCACTTCCGCATGAGTTCGATTCCCGCCTGCCCTGGAGGTGACCACATGGCGTGGCAGACCTCTCCTGACCCACCCGCTGCTCCCCTCAGCAGTGTACTTCGTCGATCTGCCTGTTCTGCTCCCCACTCTGTCTCTGGTGAAGCCTCTCACCGCCCCTGAGCCTCTGGCCTGTACCCCAGTTCTATATGTACAAATAAATAAATCTTTAAAAAAAAATTATCAATATAACGGACATGAAAATTACTTAAATTTATCACATCTGTGTTCAAAAGAAATTTCCCCCATATGTGACTGACAAATCTCACTGTTTCATTCACGTAATGCTTTAATACACCAAACCTATTTTCAAATTTCCCATACTCAAGTTTACTGGTGGTACAGTGGTTAGGATTTGGTGCTCTCAAATTTCCCATACTCAGTTTCAAAGTCTCATACTTAACTACTGTTTTCACATACTGACAAATCCTACTCTTAAAATGTAATACAAATTTAGAGTTTAAAAAGAAAATAGCGTTTTTAAATTTAAAATATACTTTATTGCTACCTACCCAAAGAACACAAAATCACCAGTTGCCTCAATTTATAAAAATTAAGTAAAAGCACCTCTTTAGGTAATTCTTAATAAAGAGGACAAAAACTCTTAGCTCTTCAAAAAAAAAGTGTGTACTCAGTGAAAGCTAAATATATAATACATATATAAATTCTTATACTGAACTAAATATATTTTCTGAATCAGAATACTAAACAATTCATGAAGTTTCAAAAGTAACTGCTGGAAGTAAATCTTTAATAGCTTTTATCCTGGGTCTAGTGATTTCTTTTTATTTGTGTAGTGATGGTGGGGAGGGCAAGACTCAAGGCCTCAAGTTTTCTTTGGTATAAAAAAAATTTCCATTGATTCTTAAAACTCATAATTGCTTTTCTTCCTTTAGATGACAGCAGGTTTAAAATACATACTTTTCTAATCTTGATTTTTAACTTCTCACTGTTTTATCATGTCTGAATCTCATGAGTTCACAATAAGAAATGAACTGAGTTTTGATATGACTCATTTTACCTCAAATTTTAATTCAATCAGTTGTGAACTGAAGTTAAATCTAAACAATCTCAATAGTAATGCATGAACTCACAAGTCAATTTCTTACTGCTCAGAGATCAATTACCCAGGTGGTGGATTATTCAGGCCTTTCAATTTCCTTATATATTCTATTTCTGCCTTTATTTTGGCTATTTCAATATTATTACCACTTCTAAAGAGCAAATACTGAAGTTTAAAATACAAATCAGTGTAATTTTTATTACATGTTATTTAGGTCTCATAAAATAATAAAGGATTGAAAGATCATTTACAAATTACAATTACTCATCCTACAGGGTACTAGCTGCACTGTATCTTTTAACTAAGTCAGTTTATCTTAGTCAATCAAGCACATACTCAAGCCATATCTAGATCAGAAGTGAAAATTCAAGCCAAGAATTCCTAATAGGATAATTGCTGAAAAGAAGCAATGATCTATAAAAAAGGTATCACTAAAACACTGGTAAGGTTTCAGTTATTCAATGGAAGAATATTGACATATTGCCACAAAATTTATACAATAATTTTTAATACACTTTAAATTAATAGAACCCCAAAATTAACACCTAAAGATAAGACTTTATGGGAAATGTTTTGTATTTAATAGCACAAAATTATTTCTAACTCAGTGTTAGGGAACTGCCAAGATCAATTACATGTGATTCTTAAAATTTAATGACTACTGGCCCTCCCTGGTGGCGCAGTGGGTTAAAGCACAGCACTGAGAAGCTAAAGCCGCTTCTGCATGAGTTCGATTCCCGCCTGCCCCGGAGGTGACCACATGGTGTGGCAGACCTCTTCTGACCCACCCGCTGCTCCCCTCAGCAGTGTACTTCGTCGATCTGCCTGTTCTGCTCCCCACTCTGTCTCTGGTGAAGCCTCTCACCGCCCCTGAGCCTCTGGCCTGTACCCCAGTTCTGTATGCACAAATAAATAAATCTTTAAAAAAAAAAATTTAATGACTACTTAGAAACATTCTTTTTCATTATATCTAAAATATCAGCATTGGAAAATATTCTATATTGTTTCATGTACTAATTAAGGAAAAATTCTGCCAATCATTAGATACCATCAGTTATATAATGTATAAAAATTTTAGGTAATTTAAAAAGGAAAAACAGATGTCTTAAATCAATAAAATAGTGATTTTCATATTACTTTATCTTTATGATACTTTCTAGACCAACAAATCTCTTATCTATGAAGGAATAAGCAAACAAATGAATATGCAAATAAGTATTTCAAGGGCTCTGTGGAAGAGATGAATAGTTTTGATTTAACCTTACTTTTTCCCTTTATCCTTAGCAGTTACAACAAAAGTAGAAATTTGAAAATTTCCAAACCCAGAATTCCACTACATAAAAAAATGAGTTTCTTTCAGTTTTTTGATGTCTTGTCCTCTTCCTATGTATATTCTTCAAGTTTTCTTAACTTGAAACCAAGTTTTTAAAAACACTCTTTGAGACTATACAATTAAATGACTAAGCAAAAATTATATGCATGAGAAAAAGTTTAACAAGGTGAGGCATGGTTAATGAATACCTACAGCAGAGTTACAATGTTCCAGGCTTTCCTTCCCTAATCATGAGAACTACATTTATAGAGAAATTTCTGCATTTATTATCACTGATCCCAAAATAGTTTCTTTTTTTTTTTTTTGTATAGGAGAAACAATGTACTGACTTTGCTCCTTTATTTACCAATTTTCATAATTAGTTCCCTACCATTTGCCAAAGGTAAGCAATGACAAGTATTTCCATGAACTCATGAACTGAAGCATGTGTGACACTGCAGTTTCTACCTGTATCTATGCCAAATTGTTACTGATTTTTTAAAGTTACCTTTTAAAGATGCCCAAAGAATGAATTTTCAAATGCCTAGTAAAGATATTATATAACTTAGGAGGGCTAATTTTACCTACAAAATATAGTAATTAGTTATAAGGTGACAAAACTTGAAATTTTGTTTTGTATTTACTGTCCCTAGTCCAAATTTTGATTCTATGAGGCTATATGTAACGGCAATACCTTTCCACTCACCCCTCTCAGATTTTATCACAGCTTAGCAACAAACAAACTCCACTACACTTTCAAATGTGAGTCAAAAGAACAAAATTTGAAAAAAGAAGGAGAAAGGGCAACATATGCAAGATGACACTGCCATCCTTCCTTCAACTGACTCATAACTCTATATAAAAACAACAAAAATTAAGCTAATTTAATTCTTAAAAAGCTGCAAAAGGCTTTGCTTCAATGAGTTCATTCATACAATTTAAAAATAACCCAGTGTACAATGACAGAAGTGTGTGGGAGACACAAAAACTTGTAACCTCCAGATACCCCTTGAAAAGGTGGCTGCCTGCTTCCAACTATTGGTTTTAGGGTTTATTTCACCTTTCAAGACAAAGCCATATCATTTTACCTGGATCCCTGCCACCAAGACTGAAGTAAAGTACTGCAAGCCAGGGGCACATTCTTAAAAAGACCCCCAGCCAATAAATGAGCAAGTCAGTTATTTCCAGCCAACAGTGTCTGCAGGGGGTTCCTTCTTCCATTGGCTTACAGGCACTGTCAGATCTGCATCATAATCTGCAGTGGCTCCCCTTGTGCAATCCTGCTTCCTACCCTTTCCACTCACTGCTGTTTTTCTCTCAAACCTTTTGCATGTTTAACTCCATTTTATTGCCTGTTACCCAGGGAACCCAAGTATCAGGAGGATTTAAATTCTCCTGACTGATTCCTATTTTTGCTATTTTCTCAAAGGTGTAATATATTGTGTCATTAGAGAATCATCTAACCATACTGCTGAGTTTTGTTTCCTGTGAACATACAGCTTCAAGAGCCGTCATACGGACATATTGTGTTCTCCAGTCTGGTATTTCATGGGTCACCTGATTCTTTTTCCAGTCATGATCACTATCCTACATAGCCTTGTCTGTTTCCTCGAGGGGCAAGGAATGATCGAATGAGTAACAGAGAAAACTATTCTTAAAATGTGTTATGAACTCAGTTTAGTTTAATGTGTCAAATGCTAGAGTATTAAATGCAATTTTAGAACAGTCCATTTTTTGGAAGACTCTTGCTGAGGCTTAGCCTTCTTTAGTGATCTCCCAATCAATATGACCCACACTTCATGTTCAAAAAATACTAAAGAAGAAAAGAAAAGACAGCTGTCTGTTAGGTGATACAGGATTTATTTGGTATCTTCAAAAACCAATCTGAGAAAATTTTCCACTCACTGGTTTTAGCTGAGCCACCAAGAAAACAAGAAAATCCTTCTGCAAAATTCTCAATAAAATGATATTATCCAAAGACCTGAAGCGTGAAACCTGGATTACAACAGATGGCAAAAAATCCAGAGTGTAATATCTACAAAAACTAAATCAAAACAAAAACTGTAAAACTATAGTGTTTACTTTAAAACTGGATGGACAGTTCTGTAGTTCTACAATGCATAAACAATGTACATCTGCAAAGCTAATTGTTAATTAATAAAATGCAGAGCTATTAATTCTACTTATAATAAATATAATCATATAGGCTATAGATCTTTTGTCCTTTTACCAAAAATACACAAATTGAAAGTTCTACATGTCTGACTGAAAAACTTCATACCTAATTTTATGTACAATTTGATATAGTAATCACTTGAGTACAAAGAATTAAATGTGATTCAGGCAGAAATGTCTTCACTTTATTGCAAAAGCCAATGGTAGGTTTCTTCATCTATTCTAGACATTTAGACTCACTTTAGTAAACAATAAAAATGTCTAAAATTATTTCCCCTTTACATACATTTGCAATGGGATTTTGTTGCTTCTTCCATTAAGAGGTAGAATTCATATACCCACTCACTTATTTGTGCCAGCTCCCAACTTGCTTTGGTCAATGAAAACAGCAGCAAACACCACTCAAGAGATTTAAAAAGTTATTTTACATAGGGACTTATCCTTTTGTTGTCCTAAGAATTCCATGATCACTAATGTGAGTAAGCCATGGAGACCGATTATCCTAGCTGATACCACTGTGAAATAGCAAGAGTCAATAAATCCATTGATGTCTAAGTGAACTTAATCAAAACCAGCTGATCTTGCATACACAGAAAGAACCACCCATCCAAACTCTTCCAAAGTGCCATGCTGCAAAATGGTGAGGTAAACAGTGATTGTTTTAAACCACCAAATTCGGGGTGATATTTGATAGAGCAATAAATAAATGTTTACAGAACATTTACAGTTATCATCAAACAATGCAAGCAGCACTGTGGAAGTATTTATCAGCATTTTTACAATGATCGCTATTCTACAAGATGGTATTTTCTGCAGACGATCCTCTCTGTCACAAGAATAAAGGGTATTTCAGAGGACAGAAGATAATGAACATGGGCTCTTAAGAGTTAATCTATAAAATATTTAAAGACCAACACCCTGCCTCAACCTGGAAGTATTCTACAACTTTTTCATTTAACTTTTAGACACAATGATTTAGGGAGTCTTCAGGGCCCAAATATTAGTGATTATGCTCTAAGAACTTACTTGTGATTTTTTTTAACCTCCCTTATAACTTACTACAGTAAAATGTTATTTATAACATAACACTACCTGCCTGGAATCTTACCTTTCCAGAAATGTTTAGTTTCAGATGTGATCATTAAAATGAATGTCTCTAGATAGAATGACTATTACCAAAAAGGCTCAAAATTACTATATAGTTTAATATACTATGATTTCACTGACTCATATCACATTAGCAAATAGTAGTGATAGGCCAATCTTTTCAAGTTATAAAGTAGGAAAGCATGATGTTGTATAATTTGGTTGGAATCTGTCTTGAATTCTACAAGAGATCCTGGCCCTAAGACTTCATCTGAGTTTATGCTAAGATTATTCATGGTAGGCCCCTTGACAGTTTCAGTGTGGGGGCTGGCCATGAAAAGAAGAATCATGTTTATTAGAGGTTGGGGTTTTGAGCCATGGGATATCAGTCTCACATCCCAAACAAGACAGACAAAAAACTGGATTCAATCAGGTGGCAAATGAGTCAAACAATCACACAATGAAAACCCCATAAAAATTTTAGACATCAGAGTTCAACTGAACTTCCTTTTGTTGATACTACAGCTATGCTGATATCCTGAAGGGAAAAAAAAGCTTTGCATTTAGACACTCCTAATTCTTGTTGCAAGTATCTCTTCATTTGGTTGGTCCTGGCTTATTATGATATAATTGTATTCATAAGTAAAGTGCTTTCCTGAGTTCTGTCAAGTCATACTAGCAAATTATCAAACTAAAAGGGTAGTGCTTAGACTTAACCCTCTGAGCCACCAGGGAGGTCCTGAAGTTGTTTTTAAAATAAAATACCCCTAAGATTTCTTTTCAGTAGTCAACTGGACAACTGGTTTCTTACCTGTAGTCATCTAACTGTACCAAAAATCGTACAATATCATGATGAGCTTTCAGCACAAGCAGTTCAGTATAGGGGTTCTGCGTTTGTTCTTCACCTATTGTCTGTAAAGGAGATTTCTTGTATGGGGTGTGGGAGAGGGAGAAAAAAGAGAAAAGGAGGTAAAATGCTTGATGATAAAAGACCATACAGGCATAAAATTGCATGGTATACATTTAAACACACAAGATTTTAAAAACTGTTATAATATTCGAATACTGCATATTATTTCCCCTAAAATCAACTGCCAGTTGAACAAAAAATTTTCTTACCACAAATCTACATCATAAATTTTACAAAAAGAGTGTATTTTATTTTGTGGAAATTATACAATAAACCTGTGCTAAACAATTATTGAACAATCCAAGTCAACATTTTAGAATGGGTGTTTTTAAATAAATATTTGATAGAAACAAAACTACTACATATCAAAGGGGTAAAATATAATACAGACTACTACCGTGCCTACCTTTTAGGCCTTCAATATATACTTGCTGAATGAATAAAGGAAGCAATGAAATCATTTAGAATTAAGGAATTCAATTGGGCAATAATACTGACAAGGACAACTGCTAACATTTAACAGAATTATCACAGACACTACGCAAAACACATGATATATAACTCACAATTCTGCCCCAGGGTACTAATTCAAGATAAAGCCTTTGTTCTTAACCTCTGAATTGCAGTTTCTCAAATAACAATATTGATGTTTTGATACCAGGTAACTGTTTGTTGGTGAGGATTATCCTGTGCACTATATACATTTAGCAGCATTCCTGGTTTCTACAAACTATATACTAAGTCATAATAATCAAAAGTGTTTCGAGACATTACCAAATGGACCCTGAAAGGGTTCTGTGGATCCTAGTCGAAAAACACTACTTAAAATGTAAATCTGGACACTAAATTCTTACATAATTAGGGGAAATTTTGATAATGTACAGGTTCATGGAAGTTACACAACTGAAGTAAATTTATATGAAGTATATAAAATGAATGTTTTCTCAAACAGCCATCCCCCAAAAATAACTTTTAATTATTCCATCTCCCTTCTAACACAGATTGTGATGAGAAAAGCAAAAGTAAATAGTTTAAGAACTGTACACTGTTGTGTCAGGTTTTGAGTTTCCCAAAAACCACCAAGGAGCCAATTCCGATGCAAAGGACATGAGGGTCTTTATTGGAAGCTAGAACCTGGGCTCCCAACATGCGACTCAGCAAAGTTGAGAGCCCTGAGCTCAGGGAAGGCCGGGTTTTTAATTACAGAAGAGGGGAGTTTCAGCCCAGCAGAGGGGAGTTTTTGCTCAGCAGTACATTGATTGGTGGACATTGAACAAAGTTATCTTGTCTTAACCTGGTTGATCTATGCATGTAAGATGTGACCTTCACTACTTGTCCCGCATACCTTAGGACTTCTGGTGTTTTCTTGATATATACTGGTTACTTGCCTACTTGCTAATTGGCTGTTCTTATGGGATAAGCCAGATTAGGACATTTACAGTTAAACTTGGCCTTGGTGCCTTGTTGATAACCCACCCTTAGGCCTGGCTGGTTCTGAAGCATTCTGAAGCCTGTCATGCAGTCTGGTCTTTCAACATCACTTCTCTCAAATGAAGTTTGCTAGACATAGCAGAAGTAATCAAATTCTATGAATAATCAAACAATCCAATTTATACAGAACTGTTTCTTTACCATTTATATATGAACTACTGTGTTTTCCAGTGTCCCATAATCTTTTGGGTTTCAACCTATCTAAAATAAGTCCAATTTGAAATAGGAAATGAATTCTTAAAAAATAGATCATATGCTATAGCTGCAAAAACATGAGGAAGTTACAATTCAGAAGTTGAGGTTGCTTACATTATAACCCAAGTTATTTTTTTTAACAATCAAAACAAGTACTTCTGGGAGAAATAAAGAATTAAACAGTCTAGTCTTATATAGCATGAATTCTAGACCCCAACACTTTAAAATTATTTTATTTGAAAATAAATGTAAATCTTATTAGTCTATTCAATTAGGCTTAGGAAGAAAGCGTGATTTATAGAATGCAAACTCATTTTCTTGACTTCGAAGCAAATTATTATTTTAAAAATAACTATAACCTTTCCTGTTCTTGGATAAACAATATGATTGTATACTCCCCAAGAAGCATCAGATTATGCTGGGAAGAGACACCGACCAAGCCAAAAAAGCGGAAAGTTGCAGTAGCCACTTTTTCGTTTCTCTTAATTGGGTTCCCTTTTTTGAAGTGAACTAAGATCGGCTTAAGTTGCCACAAGATGAGCTGAACGTCCTTGAGTCTATCCTGGGCTCATTCAAAGTACAATTTCCTCACCTCCTTTGAACAAAGATACTTAGCTCTCAGGAGCAAGGCCTAAAGTGTGGCCGCAGAGAGGCCCTACCCCCACTGTCTCCCCCACCCCCAACCCCGCCCTGGCCAGCAGCAGCAGGCCCCGCCTTGCCCGCTTGGTCAAGCTCAAACAAAAGCCTATGCTCCAGCAAGCCCCTGCCTGGTTAAGCTGGGTCCACCTGGGGGTTTACCTCTGCCAGTCCCTGAGGTTCTCGGCCTCCCCCGATGAGCCATCTCAACATTCCAGCAGCGGCTCCCAAGGCCGGGCCTTAATCAGCCGGACTCCCCGCCGAACTCCGCTCCACCTACCTCCCGGGTAAAGCGCAATGTAGACACTAATACTTGCCGCCCCGGGTTTGCCCACAGAATGAAGCAGTACAAAACAGAGCCCAATGGGGAGGGAAAGATTTTTGTCCTCCAAAAGTTCCCGTAGCCAGCCACAGTAGGCTTGGTTTGCGGTAGTCAGCAGTCGCCAAGGAATCAGCAGCTGAAAGCTAGGGCTGAGGGGCGGATTCACAGACGCGCGCGCAACACCTAATATACACGCGCCGAAGCGTCGCCTAGTTTGTGCGCTGAAGCTTCGGTAGCTCGAGCGGCCCCTGGTGGAGGACGCACGTAAGCGCCGGCAGACAGGCAGACAAACGCTTGCCAGGATCCCAGTTGCCCTTCCATAGTTTCTGCATCCTTTACATGGTTTCCTAAAGGCTGGGGGTAGAAGGTGTACCTCAGCGGACTGGTGTATCCAGTAGACATGTTGTGCTAATTAAGGCTTTAACGTAAATCCTCTAGTAACCTTGTAGTCCCTATTGTATAAAGAAGCTGAAAATTTAAAGAAAATATTGGTGCATTCTGTTCTTTTGGTCAGCTGTTGCAATCCAGGTTTCACACTTCAGATGGTTAGATAACATTATTTGAGAATTTTGAAGAAGGATTTTCACTTTGGAGTTAGGTGTCTTGATAATTTGATAATTTTCTGCTCCTACCTCCAGTTTTTGACGGTATAATTTTCTATCCTAAATTTTCAGTGTAAGTTCCCATCATATCTATCTCCTAATATAATTATCTGTTTGTATGAGATGAGACTAAGATTTATTACCCTAGCAACTTTCAAGAATATAATACAATGTTGTTACCTATATTCACCATGCTGGACATTAGATCCCCACAACTTGCTCATCTTATAACTGGAAGTTGTAAACTTTGAACAATATGTCCCCATTTCCCCCACCCTCAAACACTGTCAACCACCATTCTGTGTTTCTCTGGTCAGCTTTTAAAAACTCCTCATATACTTAAGGTATATTTAGAGTACTAATCTCGGTGTGCATTATACCACTTAGCATTAAGGTTCTCAAGGTTCTTCCATGTTGTCACAAAAGGAAGGATTTCCACCTTTCTCATGGTTGATAAATTTTGCATTATACCTATCACTTTTTTTTTAATCACATTCATCATCTATGGACACTTAGATTGCTTCTATATTGGATATTGTGAAGTGCTGTAATGAACATGAAGATATCTCTTCAAGATCGTCACTTCATATCCTTTGTACATGTAAGCCAAAGTGGGATTGCTGGAACATATGGTAGCTCTTTAATATTTTGCTGTGGTTCTATCAGTAGAGGTCAGCTTAGATAGTTCACTGTCAGTAGCTAGAAAGTTATAATAGATCAGCTTAGTTGCTTTCTTGTTACTTTCACTTTGCCTATTTGGAATTCTGGTACATAAAACTTTCCTAAATGTTAAATCTTCATTTAGGTTACCAGGAAGCATTAGCCAAGTTAAGTTCTTCTTAGAAGGCACACTAATTATTAACATTACAGCTGAGTACATTTTTAAAAATTCATGCGCATGAATGTTGGGAGCAATAATGCAGTGAGGGAAAAACAATCAGAAGTCGTTGAGACATAAAACTAGGTTGGACTTCAATTTTGCTAGTAATGGAATGATTTTTAAATTCTGGAAACAAAAAGTCAATAATTAATATATGTATAGAATACAATAAAATATATTATTTTATTTAATATTCACATATAACATTCTTGCTACATGCCAATCCATGTTTCAAGTCTTAAGGGAATCTTAAGTAACTGGAAAATGTCCAATTATGAAAAAATAAAGGGCTATGTTTTCCCTACCTGAGTGAACACTAAAGGCTGGATTTAAACAATAATGATTTTATTCCATAGATGCTGACAAATACACTTAAGTGACTGGCAATTTTTTAACAGTATTATTTTACTGAGGTGACAGTGGTTTTGATTGGCATATTTTGAGCATATATGGATTTGTTCCTATTACATTCTTGGGGTAAGCAGCTACATGTATATTACATGACATGTGTACTTTTTACATAGTCTCTTCTGTTAAACCCAGTTCAATGAAATTTTAGAAAGATCCCTGTGCTTAATTAACTCAAATTCCAGCATCTTATTACTGCTTAGATCTGCACACATCTACAAATAGATCTGTCTCAGTGTTAACTCGAATTCTTTAGTGGTACTGCTATTCTCAGACCTTCTGGTCAACATTCAACATGTAACTAAATTAGTAGGCTTCAAAATATCTTTTATACAAGTTCTTTCTTCTTCAAAATTAGAAAATAACAGCAGAAAAATTCACAGCTGTCTATTTACATCACCATAGTCACAAATCCTGAAACTGTCTTTTTTCTAATTAGAAAAAGGTTTCCTTGGAAACTAAATTACTATTCTTCATCCATCCATCTGCCTCCTTCCTCCTTGCATTAGTAACAGTGTAAAAATCATAATACTAAGCTGACATAATGAAGTTGCCCATTTTTTTCTAAATCATTCTTTTTAAATGCCTTTAACACCTTTCCTTCATGTATCCTTAAACATAATTTAACAGAACAATTTCCCAAAACTACTTATTGTTTCCATATAGTATTTGCTAGGTTTTAAGTATGTTTTTGAAATGTTCATGTGCCCATTTTCTTAGCTCCTCTGACTGCAAAAGTGTGTGTATGGTAGAAAACCTTCATATTTATACTCTTAAAGTGAGAATAACCTAGTTTTTGCACCTGTTGTGCATGTCCACAGAAGCTTTTATGTATGACGGTTTACTTCAAACCATTTCTATATTTTGTTTTACAAAAGCTTTTTTTTCCTTGGACAGTAAAAGTGAAAACATCATCAATCACAAAATATTGTGATATGAATGAGCAAGAGAGAAGGACAAACCTCTAGCTAGGTTCAAAAAGGAAAAAAATTAGAAAACTCAAAAAGAAACCTAAATAAAAGAGAAGTTACAACAGACATCGAACAAATTACTCAGTTAGTTGAGTGAGAAATGGACAAACTCTTAGAAATATGCAACCACCTGAAAATGAAAAGAAAACCTGAGCATTCAAACCACAACCAAAGTAACTGCAACAATGAACAAGTCTCCCTGCCCACCACCTAAAAAGCCACAACCAGTTTCGCAAGTGGGTTCTACCAAACCTTGAAAGGCAAATACTTTTTCTCAAACACTTCTAAAAAATTAGAAAGAAAAAAATTTGCAAACACATTTTATGAGGCTAATATTACTGATACCAACCACAGAAACAACTGCAGACCAATATCCCTGAAGAACTAAAAACCTTAAACAATATCCTAGCAAAGTGAGTTCAACAATGTGTTAAGAGATCACAATTCAAGACCAATGGGATTTACTACAGAGACATGAGATATAAATATTAATGTAATTCGCCACTGCAATAAAAGGAAATATAAAAAAATCATATCATCATATCAGTAGTGCTGAGAAAGCACTGTCAAGATTCAATATCCACTTATGATGAAAACCCTCAAAAAAACGAGATAGGCCTTCCCTGATGACCCAGTGGGTTAAAACGCAGCAGCACTGCAAGCTAGCTGCAGCCGCTTCAGTGAGAGTTAGATCCCCTGCCCCAGAGGTGAACCACATGGCATGGCAGACCTCTCCTAACCTGCCTGTTGCACCCCTCAGCAGTGTACTTCATCGATCTGCCTGTTCTGCTTCCCGGTCTATCTCTGTGCATCCTGTCACTGCCCCTGTGCCTCTGGCCTGTACCCCAGTTCTGTATGAATAATCTTAAAAAAAAAAAAATAAAACAGGATAGACAGGACATACCTCAACATAATAATAAAAGGAATGTTAATAAGGAAAAAAGTAAAGTTAAAATTTGCATGGTGGTAGACTTCCGGAAGATGGCGGCAGAGTAAAGACGCCGAGATCACCGCGTCCAAGCTGGCATAGGAATTGAGGACTGAAAACGGACTATAGACTCACTTACTACAAGTTT